CTATGTACAAGAAATCGAAGTGAAGAATTTTATTTAAGAAAAAAACTTGAAAGCGTATTTATATGTATGTGTATGAGTATATAGAAATGCGTTTGATTAGTGTTTTAATTGATGTATTTATTATATAGAAATAAATGCCTTTGATTTCTTTTATTATATTTGTATCCAGTGTTTTCTATTTTTTTTCATTGATTTCCTTCTTAATAAGGAAATCAATTAATTTTTTTTAATAAAAAAAGAATTTATTTTAATTCTTAAATAGCTGAATCATTTTATTTTCCGAATTATTTTCGCCGGTTATTCAGATCCGGTTTATTTAGATTTTGGAACAATATTGGAATATATATGGGATTCCGATTTACAATCCAATTTTAATTTCCGAGACTAATTCCAAATTTCTGAGTTTTTTTCTTGCCGAAAATCACTCTTATAATATCATTATTATTATACATTTTATATTTGAAGTGCCAAAAAAATTAAAAAACTTTGATTCGTATTTATTCATATGGTTGAACTTACTCCTTGCTTATTTCGGTCCGATCCGTCAGATTTCTACTCTTCCTTTCAACTTACTTCCATCGTTCTTTTATATTGATTTCATCAAATTTATATAGTACTATAGATATATTCTATTTATGAATATTAAAAATAAAAATTATATATTGAAGTGTTTCTAAATATATATTTTTATTCAATAAGAAGCATCGCATTACATAGTAACTCTTTTTTTAACTTTCTATGTATTGACACTTACAGTTTTATGAGAATCCGTAATTTAGAAAGTATGGTTATTTGACTTTTAAATATATTGGTTCTTGGATACCGAAACCTCGATTTCTTTTGAAAGAAATAAAAAAATGATTTGACAATTTGCATCTTTATAAAAGTGCAACTAAAAATATGAAATTCGTCGCATTAATTACTTTAAAATTAATTGGTGGTGGCATTGTTAATGACTTATTGTATTTCAATAGTGCAAAGAGCTATTAATCTTTTTTCAAAGGTGTAAGGTGTCAAAATAGTACATTTAAGGGGTGGAAAGTGAATTAATCCCTACGAATATATATTGAGTGTAATGATTGAAATATATATATAGTATATATATATATATATATATATATATATATATATATATATATATATATATATATATATATATATATATATATATTCGATGAATATTTGGTAACTTTTGCGATATTTAAATGGAATCAATTCTACTATATATAATTATTGTTTAAATATATAATTAATTTATAATACACTATATCATTACTGTTACTATTACTATTACCATTACTAATACTAATACTAATACAAATATTTTTACTATTACTATAACTATTAAATTACTATTAATATCACTATCACTATCACTATCACTATCACTGTCACTATTGGTATGTGTATTCACACTTTAGTATTAGTATTAATATTAGTATTAGTATTAGCATTAGTATTAGTATTAGTATTAATATGAGTATTAGTATGAGTATTAGTATTAGTATTAGTATTAGTATTAGTATTAGTATGAGTATTAGTATGAGTATGAGTATGAGTATTAGTATTAATATTAGTATTAGTATTAGTATGAGTATTAGTATTAGTATTAGTATTAGTATTAGTATGAGTGTCACTATTAGTATTAGTATCACTATGACTCTTATGGGAGATTAAAATTAATATTAGGATCACGATTAATATTAATATTAAGATTTAGATTTAGATTAGAACTATGATTATAATTAGTATTAATATCAGTATTAGTATTAGTGTGAGTATTATTATCACGA